GCTCGTAGTAAATGCCAGAGGAGAGACGTAAATTGAAGAAGGTAGCGTGAAATGAGAAAAAACTAGCACACGATGATTTGCAACCTTCTCAGCCTAACCAGGTAGCCTGCTTTGGAAAAAGGGCCAAGGGTGGGCCTGGAAAACCATCAGTAGGGAGCTTAGGCATGTGACACGTGGGTCCAATCGATCATCTCAGCAGAACCCAGGAATGGAGATACGGTCATGCAAGAAAAACATGTGGAGGACCCTACTGTGTGATAGCTTGAAGCCTTTGGACTGTAGGGAAAGCCAACGGGTGTCTTATTCTGAGAATTAAATCCTGGCTGAAAGGTGGCTAGCTGGAACTCAAGGGAAAGAGATGAGTCAGACAACACGAAGGAAGACTGTTGGGACTGCTGGGATTCAGCAGGCGAGGAAAGGGCCCACAGCTATATCTCACTGGGAACATGGGCTATTCTTCAGGAAAGGGGCAAATGACCCCACAGAAGGTTCAGTGGCTGGCAGGGCTGCCACTGCCACTACAGACCCAGAGGCGCAATGCCAGGATCTGTAGAGTCATCTTCTCCTTGATTCCTGAGACCGAGGCTGCCTCCTGGGTTCCAAAGGTTAGGAACACCTGGCCTTCAGAAGAAGGTACTGCAGCAGCCCTGGATAGGTGGGAAGCCGCCACTTCCCATGGCAGAGAGTGTGGGGCTGCCACCCCTTGTGGGAGCAGAGCTCAGGGTCTAGAGCCAGAGAGGATTCTTTTCCATCCTTATGATCTAATATAATGTTTCCTACTAGGACCCAAACTTGCTCTGGGCCCATGAACCCTTGTTTCCCTTTCCAATACCTTGATTTTGGAATAGTAATGACTATCCTGTGCCTGTCTGTCCATTGTGTTTTGGAAGCAGGTAACTTCTTGTCTCCTGTCACACATTCTCAGCTGGGCAGGAATTACGCCTCAGCATTAATCAGAGCTGGAAATGCACCCTTATCTGGTGAACAGGATATTTAGATGACATTTGGCCTTTGCATTGATGCTGGAATGGACGAAGACTTTTGGTGACATTCACATAGGATGAATGCATTGTGGACGTGAAGACATGAATTATGGGGGGCGAGAGGCCTGACTCTTATGGGTTGAACTTTGTGCTCCCATAATTGATATGTTGTATTCCTGATCCCTCGTTCTTCTAAATGTGACCTTATTTGATGGTAGACTACTACCCTGGCATTACCCTGGTGGTCGTGTGCAGGTGAAATCATTAAGAGAGGCCTCACCCAATAGGACTGTTGTCCTTAGGAAAAGGAGAGGTTTGGAGTCACAGACACTCACAGAGGGAAGACCATGTGAGTAGATATTGTGAGAATGTGGCTATTTTAGGACAAAGAGAACGACTTATGAAGGATGCTTGCCTCTTACCCAGAGACTAACCCACCCATCAGACAATGAGTTTGGATGTCTAGCCACCAGGACTGTGAGGCAATAAATGGACATGTCATTTAAGTTGACCAGTCCCTGGTATTTGATTTAGCAGCCCTACAAACCTAATGTAATATCCTTAAATCACCACGATTAAAAACCTATGACTAAGCCATCAAGCAAATAAGAAATAGGCGGTAAAGACTAACAGCTCTTTCCCCCATCCCCACCACCACCGATCTCCAAGGTGGCACAACCAAGGAGGTCTCCTGTGGCTCACCTTGGGACAGCTTCTCACACATGGGGCCAATAGCTGTGTCTCAGAGGATGTAGGTCCCCTCATTGGCTGACTCAGAATAGTGTGGGGCTTGAGCTGCTCTGAACAGAGTCTCCCATCATCCCCATGATGAGGTGTTGCACGTCATGAAATTTTAAGTTTCTCAAAAACAAAAGTTTGTAGCCTGAAAGGAACAGAATCAGGTAAGTCTGGATGTGTCAGAACAGTAACTTCAGTTTCTAGGGAGCCTGAATAAGTTTCTTTCTTCAACTTTTGGATTTAGGTATTTCTGTACTGGGTTTGGGTCCTTGCTTCTGTTTTCCAATGAATTGCAATGAATTCCAGTGAATTCCAATGAAGCAATTCCAATGAATTGAATTAATACGAGTAGCGCTTAGAAGAAATTGACTTGGGGGGCACCTGCGTGGCTCATTCGGTTGGGTGTCTGCCTTCAGCTCAGGTCATGATCCCAGGGTCCTGGGATCGAACCCGGCATCGGGTTCCCTGCTCATTAGGGAGCCTGCTTCTCCCTCTCCCTCTGCTGCTCCTCCTGTTTGTGCGCTCCCTCCCTCTCTCTGTCTCTCAAAGAAATAAATAAATCAAAAAAATAAAAGAGAAGAGATTGACTTGGGTATGCTTGTCCTATTAATACTATTGTCCTGTGTTGATGCTTATGACGTATTAGCGAAGCAGGAGCCCTTCCCTTATATCATCTTCTTAGTAACCACAGCATTAGACCACGACTGCTCACCAGGTACATTTTTCCTGACTCACTTTCCTGGAAAGTGAATACTTTCCACTCTGGACTTCAACATCGAACCCCGTTTTCTTTCTCCCTTCCCAGATTTCGTGTGTGTCACTCACAATTGCATTCCGAGTCTTCCATCCACAGCCCATTTTAGATGCATTTTAACCTTGTTTTCCTAGAGCTCCCATTTGATCTGAAATTACAAATGCAAAAGAGCCCACGTGTGCCCTCCCTCCCCGACACACATCAAACATATCCTAATGGATTCCCATTCTTTTTTTTTTTTTAAGTTTTTGTTTTAATTCCAGTTGGTTAACACACAGTGTTAGATCAGTGTGGAGTCAGCTGACTTTCAAAGCTCCAGGCTCCAAGTCCCACTGGTTATACAAACTCATGGTATTCAGCCCTTCTGGTTTCCATAGCCAAACAGTATGGGTCTTAGCTTCCCCTGTGTGAGCTCCCTGGTGCGAGGGCCCATTTCTCTGCCCTCTCCCCATGCACAGCTCCCTCCTTCCTGCGGGCAGCCTCCCTCCACATTTCTGACCTTCCTAACCTTTCAGATGCAGCTTCCTCCCTATATTTAGTTGTGGGGTTTGTTCTTCCAGTCCTTGGGGTGCTCTCTGGTTTATTTAATTTTTCTGGATGATATCTAGTTTTAAATGTGGGACGGGGTGAGCTCAGGCTCCTCCTACTCTGCCATCTTCCCAAGCTCCTCTGGATTCACGGTCTTAAAATGACTTTTTAAATAACATGATATGTATGAGACAAATGTGCATGAATAACTTTGAAAAACCACTGTAAGTCAGGTGGACAAAAAAGGCCTTTTGAACCAGCAGCAATCAGCATGATAGAAATTAAGTGACTTCGTGAAACAGGATTTTATTTTTCTAAATGGTCCACAGTCCATTCTCTGAAAAGGCATATGGCTCTGAAAAGAGCTTTTGGCTTCAAAAATTCAGTTCCCCATGTAAATGGCTATTTCTAAGGACCACCCACAGGGATTTATTGGCACTTCATTTTATGGTAGCTTTCCTTGGGTATTTATGTAGCAAGTCCCCCATCCCTTTCCATATCCCATTGGCTTTATCTCTCGATTAATGGGCTCAAGAAAAGGTTGGATTGCTGTAGTTTACCTAGTTTTTGTCTCACTGTCTGGCTCAGAGAGACAAGATTCACAGGCTTCTACATTCCAATCAAAGGTCATTTGGAATTTATTTTAAGAGTTCACATGGAACACAGGGGAAATATAACGAAATACTGGGTTTTCATGCAACCTGTAACAAATTTCAAAGGATTGAAGCGCCCCCCCCAGCCCTACAGTGTGTTCTCCCTTCACAGATATATAGGAAGCTGGAAATCAATTAAATGGAAAGCACTTGGATAATCACCAACCACTTTGAAATTCAGCAGGTACCTATAGGAATAGGAAACCAAGAAAGGAAAAAGCCCATGCGCCAAGAAGAAAAACACAATGAGTGTTAGAGTGCATTACCATTACCGTAAGTCTGCCTCCCCATCAAATCACTTGAGGTAGAGGAAAGAGTCACTTTAGTTCTCTTAATTGCCAAAGATTCTCTTATTTTGATGCAAAATGGTAGGGACAGGTCCCACTGTGACATCTGCATGTTGACACTTCAAACACCCTGGTTCAAAGGAAGTGCTTCAACAGAAACCCACAGGCAGCCATGTCGACGAACACACCCACTTGCCCCTCAATCTCCAGGCACGGGAAGGCAATTATTGGTTCAGCCCTGGTCACCCCACCACCCTTTGGGCCAATGGCTGTGGATCCTGCGTTGCCAGTTGCTTATTGGCTGCTGCCAGCAGAGGCTGGGAGCACAGCTGCTCTCATTGGATGACCCTGTCATCCAGGCATAATTGCAGGGCAGGAAGACTTTGGTGTCAATGGTAAAGATGGCCTGCTATGAAGGCACAGATTCAGATAAATTTTTAAGGAGGTAAAGTAGGTCTTTTTTAAAATTTTATTTAGTTCTGTTACGTTAATCACCTAAAGTCGGTCTTTCACAAGGTCGGGAGCTTGACTAGGGCACAGTTCTAGATAGGTTGAGTTTTCTGCATGGTGTTTGGGTCCCCTTTTATGTATTTAACTGAATTAGGATGAGGGGATATGTTGAGGGAATGTGAATGGGGTAAGGGTGAGTTTTGTATCTGCTACAGTGCTTCACTTCTTGCTGTATCAACACACTCGGAAATTTTCTATAGGATACTATTCGAAACAAGTGGGAGAAGGAGAATACAAAAGGGAAGTAAAATTATTGTGTACCCAGCCGTGACCGTAAAGAGTCGCGGAGACGCTGACCTGAAGGACTGGGCCACTTAGGAATGTGATGAAATGCGACATGGTTAAGGAAATCATAACTGACTGCACCACACACATATATTAAAGTGGACTTGCTCACGGTAAAGGTGTTTTAAGAGCAGGCAGAATGCCACAGGTCCAAACGCTAGAGTAGGCGGGTCTCTGGAGAGTTACAGGTCTCTTGTGCCAAGTGAGGTGGCTCTGAAAAGAGCCTTTGGTTTGCGAGGTCGTCAAGCAGTCCGGAGGCAGCTCATTTGCGTCCGTAGAACCTGATGGCAGCCTTCATAGTCTTGGACACGGCGTGCTTGCCAATCTCCCCAGGCAGCAGCAGGCGCACAGCTATCTGTAACTCCCTGGTGGTGATGGTGGAGCGCTTGGTGAAGCGGGCAAGGCGAGAGGCCTCCTCACCGATGCGCTCAAAGGTTTCCTTGATGAACGAATCCATGACGCTCACGGCCTCCTGCGAGAGGCTGAGGCCCTCGTGAACATGCTTCAGAACCCTGGCGAAGTAGGTGGCGAAACTTTCAGGGCAGCGGCGGCAGACAAGGCGGTGGCAGCCGCGTCCACTGCCACGGCGGCAGCCTCCGCGCCTGGGCTGCTTCTGCTTCCGGCTCATCGGGTCCGCTGCTGTGGGCTCCCCGGTGCTGAGGCTTTCCTCAGAAGACTCACAGCCAGGTCAGCCATGCGGGGCTCACCTTCCCGACAGCTCAGAAGGAAGGGCACAGGCGGCGGCTTGAGTAGCGAGGGCCCATTTATAGTCGCTCATTTCCTGACGTCACCGGAAAGTCCTATCTGATTGGACAACATGCAAAGCTAAGAAGCGGGTCACTGAGCCAGGTCTTGTCAGATCTGACTGCTTGCCCTCGAGCTTGACGTCTCTTCAGTCAGAGTCGGAATCAGGCGTCCTCTAATTTTCTTGTGACGGCCACTGCAAAAATGTTCAAACATTCCATGTAAAGGTGTAGTTTCCTCCAGATTTCCAATATGAAATTTATTCTTCAAGGAGAGTCAGAGAGACAGGGAGGGGAGTAGGGGAATGGGCAGGGGGAGAGGGAGCGACTCCCAAGCGGGGTCCAAGCTCAGCACAGAGCCTGATGTTACTCTGTATTTCACAACCCTGGACCGTGACCCGACATCTGGAGGTAAACTACAAGTTTACATGGAATGTTTGAACGTATTTCTGGCGGCCGCCCCAAGAAAATTAGAAGCCGCCTGATTTCGATGTCAAGCTCAAGGGACGGAATCAGATCTGACAAGACTTGGCTCAGTGACTCGCTTCTTGTCTTTGCATTTTGTCCAATCAGAAAGGACTTGCCAGTGACGTCAAGAAATGAGGCGACTATAAATGCGGGGGGGCACCCCTCAAGCTGCCGCCAGTGCCCTTCCTTCTGAGCTGTCGGGAAGGCGAGCCCTACATGGCTGAACCTGGCTGTGAGACCTCTTCTGAGGAAAGCCTCGGCACCGAGGAGCCCACGGCAGCGGACCGGAAGAGCCCGAAGCAGAAGCAGCCGAGTCGCAGAGGCCGCCGCGGGGGCCGCCGCTGCCGCCGCTTTGTCCGTCTCCACCACCACCGCAGCTCGGACAGTTTCGCCACCTACTTCCCCAGGGTTCTGAAGCATGTTCACGAGGGCCTCAGCCTCTCGCAGGAGGCCGTGAGCATCATGGATTCGTTCATCAAGGACACCTTTGAGCGCATCGCCGAGGAGGCCTCTCGCCTGGCCCGCACCACCAAGCACTCCACCATCACCACCAGGGAGATCCAGACAGCCGTGCGCCTGCTGCTGCCCGGGGAGATTGGCAAGCACGCCATGTCCGAGGCCACCAAGGCCATCATCAGGTTCACCTTCCACCAGTGAGCTGCCTCCGCACAGCCTGACCACCTCGGAAACCAAAGGCTCTTTTCAGAGCCACCTAACTTGGCACAAGAGACCTGTAACGCTCCAGACACCCACCTACTCTATCTAGCGTTTCGACCTGTGCCATTCTCCCCATTCTTAAAACACCTTTACCATGAGCAAGTCCACTTTAATATATACGTGTGTGGTGCCGGCTGTTATGATTTTCCTTGACCATGTCGCATTTCATACCTTTCGTAAGTGGTCCCTTCCTTCAGGTCAGCGTCTTCAGGACTCTTTACGGTCACAGCTGGGTCCACAATAATTTTCCATGCCTTTTATATTCTCCTTCTGCAACTTGTGTCGAGTAGTGTCCTATAGAGAATTTCCGAGTGTGTTGATACAGCAACAAGTGAAGCCTTGTAGCAGATACAAAACTCACCCTTACCCCATTCACATTCCCTCAACGTATCCCCTCATCCTAATTCAGTGAAATACATAAGAGGACCCAAACACCGTGCAGAAAACTCAAACTATCTAGGACCGGGCCCTACTCAAGCGCCCGAACTTGTGAAAGGCCTACTTTAGGTGATTAACAGAAAACGCTAAAATAAAAATAAATAAATAAATAAATAAATAAATAAATAAATAAATAAGCAAATAAATTAAATAAAATAGTAAGGCATACCTCACTTCCTTCAAATTTATCTGATTCTGTGCCTTGGTAGCCTACCATCTTTCCCTTTTGACACAAAAGGGTTCCTGCCCTTCAATTATGCCTGGATGACGGGTTAGTCCAATGAGAGCAGCTGTGCTCCCAGCCTCCGCTGGCAGCAGCCAATAAGCAACTGGCAGCGCAGGATCCATGGCCATTGGCCCAAAGGGTGGTGGGGTGACCAGGGCTTAACCAATAATAGCCTTCCTGTGCCTGGAGATTGAGGGGTAAGGTGGTGTGATCGTCGACATGTCTGCCTGTGGATTTCTGTTGAAGCGTTTCCTTTTAACCAGGGTGGTTGAAGTGTCAACATGCAGATGTTAGAGGGGGACCTGTCCCTAGCCTTTTGCATCAAAATAAGAGGAGGCTGCTTGGCAATTAAGGGAACTAAGGTGACTCCTTCCTCTACCTCAAGTGATTTGATGGGGAGGAAGACTTAGGGTAATGGTAATGCACTCTAACACTCATTGTGTTTTTCTTCTTGGTGCATGGGCTTTTTTCCTTTCTTTGTTTCCTTTTCCTAGAGGTACATGCTGAATTTCAAAGTGGTTGGTGATTATCCAAGTGCTTTCCATTTAATTGATTTCCAGCTTCCTATATATCTGTGAAGGGGGAACACACGGTAGGGCTGGGGTGGGGGGGTTCAATCCCTTGAAATTTGTTACAGGTTGCATGAAAACAATATCTACTCACATGGTCTTCCCTCTGTGAGTGTCTGTGACTCCAAATCTCTCCTTTTCCTAAGGACAACTGTCCTATTGGGTGAGGCCTACCTTAATGATTTCACCTGCACACGACCACCAGGGTAATGCCAGGGTAGTAGTCTACCATCAAATAAGGTCACATTTAGAAGAAGGAGGGATCAGGAATACAAATCAATTCTGGGAGCACAAAGTTCAACCCATAAGAGTCAGGCCTCTCGCCCCCCAAATTCATATCTTCACGTCCACAATGCATTCATCCTATGTGAATGTCCCCAAAAGTCTTCACCCATTCCAGCATCAATGCAAAGGCAAAATGTCATCTAAGTATCCTGCACACCAGATAAGGGTGCATTTCCAGCTCTGATTAATGCTGAGGCGTAATTCCTGCCCAGCTGAGAATGTGTGACAGGAGACAAGAAGTTACCTGCTTCCAAAACACAATGGACAGACAGGCACAGGACAGTCATTACTATTCCAAAATCAAGGTATTGGAAAGGGAAACAAGGGTTCATGGGCCCAGAGCAAGTTTGGGTCCTAGTAGGAAACATTATATTAGATCATAAGGATGGAAAGGAATCCTCTCTGGCTCTAGGCCCTGAGCTCTGCTCCCACAAGGGGTGGCAGCCCCACACTCTCTGCCATGGGAAGTGGCGGCCTCCCACCTATCCAGGGCTGCTGCAGTACCTTCTTCTGAAGGCCAGGTGTTCCTAACCTTTGGAACCCAGGAGGCGGCCTCGGTCTCAGGAATCAAGGAGAAGATGGCTCTACAGATCCTGGCATTGTGCCTCTGGGTCTGTAGTGGCAGTGGCAGCCCTGCCAGCCACTGAACCTTCTGTGGGGTCATTTGCCCCTTTCCTGAAGCATAGCCCATGTTCCCAGTGAGATATAGCTGTGGGCCCTTTTCTCGCCTGCCGAATCCCAGCAGTCCCAACAGTCTTCCTTCGTGTTGTCTGTCCCATCTCTTTCCCTTGAGTTCCGGCTAGCCACCTTTCAGCCAGCTTCAAATTCTCAGAATAAGACACCCATTGGCTTTCCCTACAATCCAAACGTTTCAAGCTATCGCACAGTAGGGTCCTCCACACGTTTTTCTTGCATGTCCATATCTCCATTCCTGGCTTCTGCTGAGATGGTCGATTGGACCCACGTGTCACATGCCTAAGCTCCCCACTGATGATTTCCCAGGCACACCCTTGGCCCTTTTTCCAAAGCAGGCTACCTGGTTAGGCTGAGAAGGTTGCAAATCATCGTGTGCTAGTTTCTTCTCATTTCACGCTACCTTCTTCAATTCACATCTCTCCTCTGGCATTTACTACGAGCAGTAAGGGGAGAGCAGGCCATGCCTTCAACCCTTTGCTTACAAATCTCCTCAGCTTATCTGTCCCAGCTCATCATGTGAACGTTCTAGTCTTCACCACACACAAAACACTGACACATGGTGTGGGCAAATGCTCTGTCACCTGATAACAAGGATGGCCATTTCTCAAGTTTCCAATCACATGGCTCTTATTTCCATCTGCTATCTCAGCAGAAGCATTCTTCTCACTCACATTTCTAGCAACATAATTTTCATGATGCTCTATGTATTCTCTAAGATGATAAAGTCTTTCCCCATAGCTCTCCTCTTTTCTGTATGAGCCCTCACCTGAAATACACTTCACGTCCATAATTCTTCCAACAGTCCCTCAAAGCAATCTCAGCTTGTTCTGTCATGTATCTCAAAGTGCTACCATCCTTACCCATTACCCAGTTTCTTCCCCCCCCGCATTACCCAGTATCAGAGCCATGCCCAACTCCCTAAGTCTTTGTTATAATATCATCCCACTTCCGGCATCAAAATCTACATGAGTGTGCTAAGTCCATCCTTACAAAATACCACAGACTGGGGAGCTTAACAGAAATGTATTGTCTCACAGATCTGGAGGTTAGAAGTCCAAATCAAAAGTTATGGGCCAGGTTACTTCCTTCTGAGATGTGTGAGGGAAGAATCAGATCCTGGTCCCTCTCTCTTGGGCTCTTACATTACTGACTTCTCCCCTTGTTTTGTTTTGTTTTGTTTTCCACATTTTCCTCTCTATGCGCATGTCTCTGTGTAACATTCCCCCCTTTATACAGGCAAAAGTCATTTTGGATTAGTGTCCATACGAAAGAGGGTATTTTTCTTGATAGCCTCATTAATGATTCTATCTCCAAATATGATCCCATTTGAGGTCCTGGGGGTTAAGGATGTCTTCATATGATTTTGGTGAAGGTGGGGGGTGGGGTAGGGGATAGAACAACCCATGTGAGATACGAAACCCGAGCTGTACATGGGCACGTGCACTGCTTCTTCCATCATATCGATTATTTGTTGTCCTGTTAGAGAAGTGAGGTGACCTCATTCACCACCCTTTGACTCAAGACGGTATTAATGTTGCTTAATTTTATTGATTTTTTTATTTTTCTTGCTTCCTATCTCTGCAAAAGTGAATATACTCTGATTTCAATTTTTAGAAATTGATTACGGTATTTTTGGCAATCCATATTTGGTCGATATTTTGAGAATGGCATTTGTACTCTTGAAATACTTTGTAAATACCCCTGTGAACGATGACATTCCCTGCCAAACAAATCTGGATAATCTACAAAAATCCAGAAACGTTCCTTAGCCCATCAGAAGTGCCCCAGGAACCTCCTGGAGTGTCACATCACAAAACGTATTTAGCTGTGGCAGAACAATATGACTTCCAGAAAAATAGGGTGGGCAGATCCAGAAAACAAAGGATAGCAGAGAAGGCTTTTGTGTGTAGCAAAGATGTGAAGGGGTGCGATGCCTCTTCCATCACTAGGTGCCAAGTCTGGGTTTTTTGTTGTTGTTTTGTTGTTTGTATGGTCCAATGTAGAAGAACTCGGATGAGCCATTATACCTCCGGAGCTCTCCTTGGGATCATTACAGTAAGAATTTAGGATCAGTGGCCACCCTCATAAGGTTTATTGCATATTGTTTCTCTGGAATATTTGAGAAATCTAATGAAAGGATTTGGAAAAGTATGGAATTTATTCTGTAAGGCCAGTGGGAAACATTCCCGGGAAATCAACAACCAGTCAATTGCCCTTGGTAGTGCCTCAAGATGGGGAAAAATATTGGGGGAGCTAAAGGCTCTTCACCACCATGCCTGTTTTCAAAGATACAACGGTGAGCCTCTTTGCATAAAAAGCATTCCACTGAGGCACTTACTTTCTGTCATGCTCACTGCTACTGTTTCAAAGTCCTCGTGTTTGTCCATGTGACACTCAAAGGTTTTGCGTCTTGCTCTTATGTATCGGTCTCATATGTATCGTTTTATGTGAGAAGTCATATTAAGAAATGGAATCTGTTAGGACAGTTTGGCACTCCTTTGGGTGCTTTGCTCCATAGTTTCAGATATCAAAAAAGAGCATGAGTAAAACAACACTGAATGCACCACATAGACCGTGAAGCCTGGGAGTGTGAAGGTGAGTGACAGATACAAACTCCAAGATGCAGCGAGGGAAAATGGATGTTGAGGCCTAGACAAAATGGAAATGAGTACCCCTGATCACTTCTGAAGGCAACAGAGGACAAAGGGCATCTGGTGAGCATTCAA